GGGTGGCCGGGGCGGGCGGCTGGGGGGGCCCGAGCCCGGGCCAGGCCCTTTATAGCCCCGGCCCCCGTGTCGTCAGCGGCCGCGATTGGCTGCAGAGCCAACAAAAGAGGCAGCGCTGTCATCCGAGGCGAGAGAGGGAGCCGGAGAGAGCGGAGGAAAAGAGAGAGGGAGGGAGCGAGGGAGCAAGGGCCCAGAGAGAGATGAAGAGACAGAGATATGGGGGGGAGGGGGAGGGGAGGGATAGAGAAGGAAAGTCAGAGTCAGAGAGACCGAGAAGAGACAGGAGAGACGGGGAAGAGGAGGAGAGAGCGAGAGACAAAGGAGGGAAAAGAAGAGTCAGAGAGGGGAAGGCACAGAGGGGGAGAGACAGCTAGAGAGACAGAGATTGTATGTTGGTGGGGAGACACAGAGCCAGAGAAGGAAAAAGACAGGGACAACTAGTGGGAGAGTTAGAGTTGAGAGAGTCAGAGACAAAGATAGGAGAGAGTCCAGAGGGAGGAGAGAGATGTATGGCTAGATGGGTGTGCGTGTGTGTGTGTGTGTGTGTGTGTGTGTGTGTGTGTGTGTGACTTAGCTCTACACAGCCAGACCACAAGAGATGGGGGGCGGGGGGGCATACAGATTGGAGCAGGAGAAGAGGAACTGATGTGTGGGACAGAGACCAGAACCCTGGGAAAGAGAGAGTGTGTGTGTGTGTGTGACTTAGCTCTACACAGCGAGACCACAAGAGATGGGGGGCGGGGGGGCATACAGATTGCAGCAGGAGAAGAGGAACTGATGTGTGGGACAGAGACCAGAACCCTGGGAAAGAGAGAGTGGGACAAAAATCATACAGAGACTGGGAGTATCAAGAGAACCCCTGAGGAAGCAGATGCAGAGGATCAAGGGGAAGGCAGAGATTCCTGAGGGAAGGAGTGATAGCCACAGGAGTCACCCTTGGTGGGAGCACAGAGAGCCCAAGGGGAAGGAGGTGGCGAGCTTGAACACAGAGGAGCCACAGCTACCAGAGGTAGCCCAAGGAAGATGTTTAAAGGAGCCATGGAGGGAAGCGCAAAGCTAGGCTCATCAGAGGGCTCAAGAAAACTAGGAGAGGAAGAAAGCAGGGATAACCTGAGAAAGTGGAAAGGTGATGGGAAACAGTGAAACAGGAGGAAGACTTAGAGCTGGGAAGATTGTGAGCCTGAAACTGGGGCTTAACAGGGGTGAGTCAGCAGGCTGGAAAAGGCAGGGATTATGGGCCATTGGGGGATGAGTGAAAGAAGACAGGGCTGGAGGCCACAATGCTTAGAGAGGAATCTAGACCTCTAGATTTCTAGCTATACCTTTAGATCTGCAGGGTCTTAGAAGCCTGAGAAAGGGCTTGAAGTTGCAGTGTTGAGGAAGGGAGAGAGGTCTGACCTCAGATGCCTGAGCTGGAGAGAGCAAGTTGCAAAGGGAGAAACCCAGATGTGGGATCAGCCCTACTTTTCAGGCGTGATCCTGGGCACAGCCAGAGGGCCAGGTGGAAGAGTGTCAAGGTGATAAAATGCTTTGAAGGTGATTAACTTCTGATTCTGGACACCTCTTCCCAGACCCCAGTTTTTCCTGGCTTATATCTTAATCTAAAGCCCTAGAGATCGATAGACAAACTGAAGATGTTTGAGGGGATCAGGTCTTCTCGTTTCCCGGCACACACAATGTTGAATAAATGGATGAATTTCACTATTATACTTCTCAGACAGAATGGAACGGCATTCGTTCTCTCTCTGGAGTTAGAACCAATAAAATATCTTAAAGTTGGCTTGGCATAGGCATAAGGAGCAGCAGGCATAAGGGCAAAGTTGAGCTGGGGAGTTGGAGTGGGACGAGGGAAGAAACTGGGGGTCTAGGTGTGAGGGGAGAAGGTTGGGTAGATGTTAACGAGGATCAAGCTGGGGAGGTTTGAAAAGGCCATCATTTCAGTGGGGAACAGGAACTGAGATCACAACGGAATGGAACAAAAACTTAGGCAGCTTGTCCCCTTACTTGCTTTACATGGGCATCTCAACATTTCATCAAGTTTCTTCATCTATAACATGGGGATCACAATGCCTACCCTTGACTGGAAGTAAGGATTACATAGCAATTGATCAATACTGGCCTTCGTGGGGTCTTCTCTTTCTTCATGATTCTTTTCTTTTCTGTTCCTTTCTTCTTCTTCTTCTTCTTTTTTTTTTTCCTGGGGGGAGGCTGGCCAGTACGGGGATCTGAACCTGTGACCTTGCTGTTCCCACCACCACGCTCTCCCAAGTGAGCTAATCAGCTAGCCCCCCCCCCCCCCCCCTTTGGGGGGGGGGGGGGCGGGGGGGGGGGATCCTTTCTCTTTTTTTTTTTCCCGGGGGGAGGCTGGCCAGTACGGGGATCTGAACCTGGGACCTTGCTGTTCCCACCACCACGCTCTCCCAAGTGAGCTAATCAGCTAGCCCCCCCCCCCCCCCCCTTTGGGGGGGGGGGGGGCGGGGGGGGGGGATCCTTTCTCTTTTTTTTTTTCCCGGGGGGAGGCTGGCCAGTACGGGGATCTGAACCTGGGACCTTGCTGTTCCCACCACCACGCTCTCCCAAGTGAGCTAATCAGCTAGCCCCCCCCCCCCTCCTCTTGGTGGCTGGCTGGTACAGGGATCTGAACTCCTTTCCTTTCTGATCTCTCAGAGCAGTGATTGTCTTTACCACATATTCTGGCATATCCTGTTCTCCAAAATGTTTCTCTGATGTCATTTCCTCAGCCAAATTGCAAATGCCTTGAGATCAGAGTTGGTTTCACCTCCTTCTGCTCCCTCAGAGAAGGTAGTCCAGCCTTCATTTCCTCACTAAACATGTATCTTATGGCAAGTGCAAAGACAGATGAGTTGTGACGATAAAAAAGACTCAGCTTCTTTCCGCAGGAAACATATAGAATAGACAAGACACTAGGTAAACAGTACCAGCCAAAACTCCAGCCAGATGCCTCCTGAGTATCTCCATGTAGATGTTCCAAAGCACCTCAAACATCATAGGTTAAGTAGGGTACTCCTTCTTGCCTCCTAAAATGTGCCCCATCCTGAAGTTTTTCATTTTAGTGAATGACATTCAATCATCCAGGCTAGAACTAGCATCCTACTCATTCTCTTGATAATTTCTGAATCTTTGCATGGGTTGTTTCTTCCTCCTAGAACAACTCCCTTCTCTCTATCTTCACTCCCTCCCACCCCCCAATTCTCTTGGCCAAATTTACTCTTTCCTCAGCTCTCAGTATAGATGAGACTTTTTCTTTTCTTTTCTTTTTTTTTTGGTGGCTGGTCAATATAAGGATTGAACCCTGGAACTTGATGTTATCAGCACTACACCCTAACCAACTGAGCTAACCAGCCAGCCCCTAGATGAGATTTTATTTTATTTATTTATTTAATTAATTTAAAAAGACGGTCCAGCCCTGTGGCTCACTCAAGGGTTGCGGTCTCCTTACTGGTAAAAAAAAAAAAAAAAAAAAAAAAAGACCAGTAAGGGAATCTTAATCCTTGACTTGGTGTTGTCCGCACCACACTTTCCCAAGTGAGCTAACCAGCCATTCCTACATAGGGATCTGATCTTGTGGCCTTGGTGTTATCAGCACCACACTCTCCCAAGTGAGCCACGGGTTCGCCCTCCTAGATGAGATTTTTGGCATGTCATCCAGGAGTTCTTTCCTGACTACTAAGTTTAGAGTAAATGTTCCTCCTAAAAATCTGCATCATTATGTGAAGTATGGAGGTTAATCACATAACTTCTAGATTAGAGCTAGGCTGCCTGGGTTCAAATCCCAGCTCTCTCCCTTTTCTGGCTACGTGAACTTGGACAAGTTATTAAACATCTTTATACTTCAGAATCCTCATCTTAACAATATTGAACCTATTTCATAAGGTTATGAGGATTAAATGTCTGACACACCATTCTAAATGCATTAGTCATTACTACTGTGTTACTCCAACTTGTAACCCTCAAACTGTGAAAGACAAGAGAACAGGAACTTTTTCACTGAAGTATTCCTCAGCTGCTTTGAATGAAGAATGAATGAGTTCTGCTAAATGGACCTGGGCAGAGTTGGGTGGGGTAGAGAAAGCTGAGTATTTTTGTCTATGAGGGGTCTGCCAAATATTAGGGAGTTAAGAGTCAGGAACAATTTGTGAGACAGTAAGGATTTCCACCTTCTGGCTTCCTCCCCACTGTTTCGAGGACTGCACTTAATCCAATAACTGGACAAGACTGTCATCTGGTGGTAGAATCTGGAATGTCATCTCCATGGAGGTGGAACTAAAACCACAGTTTTTGTCTTTATATGCTTTGCATATCTTCACTTTAGACTTCTAGTCTGAGAAGTACTACATCATAATGCATTAAGCCTCTTTTCTCTCCAACCTCTCCTGGATCTTGCTTCTTCCCTTGAGTTCCCTTAGGCTTGGTCCTGTTGGATTCCCCTGAGTTGTGGGAACTAACCCCTAAGAGGTTTCTTTCAGGAGCTT